CATCTTGTATTGAATACGCAAACCGGGACTTGAAAAAAAGAAACTGAGAAGAACTTATGCAAATATTTGGAGGAGGGGATTTATATACAGTAGAAAAGAAAGAATTAGGTAAGAAGTGTTTCTGTGGCTTTATTTGTGGGGCCGCTTTCCAATATGGCAACTTGATTTTTAATTTTTTGTTTTGTTTAGCAATGTATATATCTATATATCACAAATAATGTGAATTAAGAAGAAACCTGCTTTTATAATGTCTTATTAAATAAAGTTTGTACATATAATATTACATGTGATTTGCAAGAACTTAAATATTTCAAATTCAATAATATATAATGTGTATGGACGTTTAACAATGCAAAGTGTGTGTATGGAGAATTTTTGTACTTAATTTCTTTGTTACAGAATTGAAATTCACACCAGGTATATAGTTTTGATAAAGGTAAATCTCATTTCCTCAAAAGTGATAAAAGTGGACATTTATCCTTGCTAATAGCCCTTCATTTCGTGATCTCATAATGTCGATTTGTTGAACAGGGTTGTAGTAATTATTGTTTAATAAATACTGCTTTTTATTTTATAGTCACTAGCTTTCATAAACACAGCATCCGCAATGAAAATCTATAAAAATTACAGGAATATAGTAAAAGACAATATGAACAGCTACTCTTCTGGACTGATGAACTTTCTCAGAATGGTATCTTGTTTTGTAAAATCATTTTCACATATAGTTAATAATTCGTCAAATGATCCTATGGATAAACGCAGATAGCTAAAGAACTTATCAGGATATTTTATTAAATCAGAGTATATTTTGCAAAACATTCCACTTGTAGGACGGTCGGCTACGAAAGGATACACCCACATTTTCTGTTCCCTACGCTGCTATTACTTCAACATCCATCTGTTCGCTCTACTGGCGTCGAAAGCTGGCAGCTGGACGCCATGGCATCGCTGTTGGTGTCGCTGCCATGGCATCCTAGTGCGATACCGCCCTAACCCAGCGTTCGCTCGATACATGATCGCGCTCCTTCAGAATAATCAGACAAAGAGTCGTCATAGATCGTCATCAGAAACATTTTGAATTTCTGGACGGGCTGAGGATACCCGCCTGCTTTGAACGTTGTATGTGTGTAGGTCTGATCAACCGAGTATTAATCCAAATATGGGGAACATTTTCGCTGAGTTCCGCTGATGTTATTTATTCTTTATTACAGACTGGTTTAGTTGATAACCGCAAGTGCCTCTCAGTGGTAACCAGTGGCAGGGTCCTGTAATCACGCTAACAAACCTTTGGGCCCACCGTATCGTGATTTTATAAACTTTATTCAACGTTAAAACAACTTCTGAAGGTCAATACCAAATTCACATCATCCATTAATTGTGTAAGAATATTATGACGCAAGAACCACTTGGCTTTTTTATGACTCCTACGATGTAGGCCTGCACTTAGCAAACTTTGATGATCTCATCAGTTAATTTCGCTGATCACGGTGGGTAATGAACAGCAGGACACCGTCTGAAGACAGAGCAGAGGGTGACTGCAACCTGTCTTAGAGACGACGAATTTCAACTTCCGCGGGCGGGTATGGTTAGTATTGGTGGCCCACCTCAACTGCAGTTTAGGATAAAATTTCAATTTTAGGTGCCAGACGAAAACAAATACAGCAGTTCCTGTGATGGCGTATTTTCATAAGTCCGCGTTCTTTTAATTAAAGACAATTGTTAATATAACAAGCCAGTCTTCATTCACAAAACAGAAATCTCTCAACATTCATATGTGTAAATGTTGTAAGAACACAAGCTTTCTCGATGCGTATTCTTTACAAAAATTATGTAAACTGACGCTTACAAAGTCACTGTATTTCATCTCCGAAACTATTCCACTGATTTCGATTAAAATTAGTGCCGGGCGGAGGTGTTTTAAAAGGGGTATTAAAAGCTGTAGGGAGAATTTAATTCTGATGCCCACGATTCAGTAATTAAACCTACTTTACATTAAGTCAAAATGTCGCTTGTGAATTTTTTTCGAAATCGGCTCATCGTTCAAAGAATGGCCTGTGATGTAAATGATGATGATTTGTAACTTTCATTTCGGCCGTTTCCTAATAGGTCAATATTTACCAAAACACAAGGAAATATAACCAACACTTCCTTGTAATGTAAAGTCCTTGTTCATAAAATTATCATATGATATAACTGGTGTTACTTTTAGTCAAAATAATGCTATTGTTCGACAAAGTTTTTCCTCATCTGGGTCAGACTTCATCTTTCAAGCCTTTAGTGATAGTTGAAGAGCTTTTGCCCTTACTTTCACTGAATTGTCAGCGATACGCGTCAGTGAACGCGTAGTTGTTGCGGTTAAAAGTACATCAGACATAAATGTAACGGAACAATGCTCTACATTTATTTAAAAATTTGGTTAACGAAAGCGTAACTGTAGAGATTAATTCGCAAGACACAGAAAGTATGTCATTCAACTCTCAAGTAACTTAGCCAAATCACCCTTCCATGGCCCTCTCTATTTTCACAAAATTACATACTATTTCTCTCGACAACCAGTTCAGCCTATTTTTAAATAATTATATTCCGTACAGCCTCGCGCAAAATGTTCTGCAATTAAGTTATTGTATAATATGTACTGTTCACTAATTATTATTAGGATTATCAAATGAAGAAAGATTAGATAGACAGGATATATGTAGTTGGCATGAGAGTCGTAAAATGCGTACAAAACTTAAAATTCACATAAACAGCATGTTAAAAATATCCTTTAACTTTAAAAATTAGTATTTCAGAGTAAAATGGCGTGTAAAAATGTAGTGACAAAATATGTTGTTCTCTAATTGGTATACACCATTTGGCTCTTGGCATTTTTAATTTTTAGAAGTTCAAGGCTTTGTATTTCTAAAATTTAAATTTTAGAAATGAGTCCATATTTTATGTTACTGTAGTAGTTTAGTAGAGATTCAAGCTATTCACCTGAAGATGGCCGAATAAGGTCGAAACACGTCGTACTTAATCATCATACCTATAATATGGGCACTGTATTATTTACTAACTAAAGGAGTAAGCAGTTACAAGAATATGATGATTTTTGAGTCGCGTCTTGACAGATAAAATACAGAATTCTCTCAAGGTAAAATTATATTTTCGTATGTTTAATCCTGTAACATTTAAACAGGAAAAACGGGAAGTCGAAAGATTCTGAGCTCAATAGCAGCGATCGCATTGCGATGTTTATGTGTTTTTGTTGTTTGCGACTTATAATTAAAAATAAGTAAGACTGAGTACAGAGAATGTGAGAGGGCATCCGACTGAAGATAACAGTAGATTACAAGCCTTCATGACGAAGGGCAAGAGGAAGGCTGAGGAGAAGCTGGGAAAAGAATTCTGAAACCTGAACTAAAAATGTGGTTCGTAATATGTGAAGATAAGGAAAATAATTTCTTACTGCCATACTGAGCTTAAGCGATGCTGCTTCTACGTTCGTGCCACTTCATCTTCTGGTGTCTTGGAAATCACGCTGATCTCAGGTAAAAGAAATAGAATAAAATGCGAAGAACTCTCGCTTTGAACGTGGTCTATTTGTATGTTTAAAACGATTATAAGTTAAAGGTAACAACGCATATTCGTTACTACTGGCAGATGGTTTCATGTAAACTACACCGTCAGTCGCAATAATTCATCGACAGATTAAAATATTTAGAGCAGCTGTCATGTGTTTATTTTTATTTTTTCTATAAATTTACGTAAACAAAACTTACATATTTTTTTAACTGCAGGTGATTCTTGTTATACGTTCATTATCCGGAGATTTATTTCAGAATCAGTATTCTATCAGCGGTCATATTTTAAAGCTTCTTACCGGAGTCGAATCTTCTCCAGGTTTGTCAGGGAACGTGATAAACATGACAATCTGAGCGTCAAAGAATTCTAATGTCAGTTTTGCAAACAATGGCAATTGTTATACGTTTCCAATATTGCGAGTTTCCGTTATTCTCGGCGATTCTCGGAAAATCAAGAACTCTCCCGTGTATGACGAGAGTCACCTGTTCTAGACCACACATATTTTCAAAACAGCACATTCTATGATGGCGTTGGAGAGCCGCGAAAATAGTATCAGTGGTACAGCTTCAACTTGAACGTAAGTTAAGGATTATAATCAAGTTTAAATAATTTGTAAGAATTATTACCAGCGTGGTTGACCCAGCGTACTTCCCCTACCTTGACTGACGCCTCTGTGGCTTACCTCCGAGCAAATTCCTCGAAAATGGCTCCTCAGAACAGACCATGATAGGCTTTTTAAAATTGTTACGTAATTATAATTCATGATCATACCCGCAAGTCATTTTAAAGAGAGCTACGTATAATTTAAGGTGGGAGGTAACGTTTCTACAGTAGTCAAAGCATGTAAACAAAAATATGCCTTAAGCAACCTTCTCAGTTGAGAAAGCATTGCTACATAAAAACCAAGCGCGTGGTAGTATGAGTAACGAAGCACAAAGTTAACCAATCAAAACCCTTCTCCGTTCTTTTCCCTTTTTTAAAAAAAAGAATGAAGTTACAGATAAGGTAAAATTGTCACTGGTGCTTAATCACCACAGAACGTAGACATATTTAGGGGGGGGGGGGGGGGAAAAAAAATCCACGTATTCTTAACCTCGGCGTTAGATGTAGGTGAGTGGTTAGTTCCACGCCCAAGGAAAGGACAGCTGTTTCGGTCCCTGAGCTAGTCTTGACTCTGCGGCAAAATGTGACGTCCTGCCCTACCAGGAAATACAGCTTGATCGCCCAACCCATAGCCTAGTCACCGCACTGAATGAACCATCCTGGCTCCCATAGAATGAAGTACGAAGCCATAGTAATATTCTTCCTTATTCATTTCTATCCTATTGTCTTGTAACAGGTAAGGTAGGAGCGAAGAGATCTGAGTTGGAGAGAAAGTCAGTCTTTTCTTTTTCTCTACTGCTGTGAGAAAGAGGGGAAACCTAGGAGGAGGTTAGGTTTAGGAAAAGCAACGGTGCACTACCAAGCGAACAGCAGTCTCTGTTGGTTGACGTTGAGGTGAGGTGAACGAGGGCACAATGGTATGACAGAGTGGCGCTGCGAACACCAAACGAATCAGACAAAGCCTTCGGAATATTGACTGGTCACAGTGCGTGCCTGCACTTTCATGTCAATGTGCGTGAACGGAAGTGTGAACAAGAAAGAAGCGAGCCACCAACACAGGTCCTACCAAAAGGTAAATAAAACTAGCGCTTGTGTTCGATTGCTCCTTTCAACTTTTGTCCATTGTCTGCATTATTCATTTATGAAATTATGTTCGGAACGCAACATTCTGCTTTCGTTATCAGGTCGAGATGTGACACTAGTTCAACCAGGGGGCCCATCAGAGATATTTTCTACCCTTATTAATTTTTTACCCGATAACGAAAGCAGAATCAGCTTTCGAAATCCTGTAGTTTTATAATTGACGATGGACAAATCCCAGACGCACCAATATTAGAAACGTACAAACTTTGTACATATGCACAGTTCGGCTATAAATGGCTTAAAACAACAGGAGTGGGTAGTTCTGCTGTTTTTATTCGCGATAGTTCCCAGTTCCAACTTTCAATCCTAAGACCGGCCATGGCGACGAGTCACTTCAGAATTTCTAGGCAAATATTTAGGCATTCATTACTTCAAAACTTGCCGGAACTGATGCTTTCCGCTAGTTTCCAAATCACCACCTGCAACCATCCTCTAATTTCACGCTGTCTAACTTCTCAAGTTCACTGAACGATTCTTAGACTTTTTAATGATGAAAAGGCAGTATAAGGAAGCGGTCATTTACTATTTAAGGGGACGAGTCCAGTATTAGCCCAGAGGGACTGAAGAAAACCACAAGTGGTGTTCCGAATATTATTAAAACATTGTAACAAATGGGCCAGACCAGTCTGATGGAACGTTTTATCAACTTATTTGCTGTAACTGAAAACAAAGGCGGTTCGCTCTGACATGGATTGTTTTTTATGACCAATAAGCATTATCTTTACCAGAATATTAATTTCAAATTAAGAACAAGCGACAAACGTACTGAATATGTATGAAGGGAATAAACTAAAACATTTCATGGAGCTCTTTCCTGTGAAGCTACAGTCGTGAAATTTTCTGACCACTCTCAAGGTCAAAGGTAAAACATCCTGGCGACCGCGCCAGAATTTTTAAACCATTCCTACATTTTGCGGGTTGTTTCTTTTGTTACTTTGGCATCCACACGCAGAGACTTAATATGCTGGTACTATTAACTGGACGAAAACATAATTATAATAATTACATCGAGAATTCTACCATGTAAAACATAAGAAAGCTTTTAGTTCAAAAGTCGAACTTTTACTGGCTTTTATTCTTAACAAAACTAAATCACTTCTCTCTATTTACGTTACGCCTTTTTTGGATTGCATAAAGATATTTACCGCCGACTGCATAAGCCGTTTGACTATGAAAAACTGCAATATGTCAATTCCGAAAACAGGATAGAAAATGGTCAAATGTTTTCAGTTAAGTTTTCATTCTAATTCGTGTAAATTGACGTAATATCTTGAAGTTCATTACCACGACAAAGATAAAGTCGTTTCCAAAGTGAAGAAACATGAATCGTTGGCAAGTACAAATCTCACTTCGTAACTTTAAATCCATATACTCGGTCATTTACGGGCTGTGAGGTACCACACCTAAATTCCAGTTCTCATCTTTTCATTAGAATTGTACGGACACTACAAATGGAATAAAATAGCCATATACTGGAGTTGTATAATTTCTATTATTCACCAACTTGCATTAGGGTGATCACATCACGGACAGAGATATGGGGGGGGGGGCATGTAGCATGCACACGAGAAATCAGAAAATCGTACAAAATTCTACCCAGAAAATCTTGGACTAGACGGAAGGATAATATTAAGAATAAACAGAAACAACAGGTAATGATTATGTGAAGTAGGTTCATGTGGCTCAGAATATGGACCAATTACGGTCTATTGCGTACAAGAAAATGCATCTTCCGGTTAAAATTCCTTAACTAGGTGGATAACCATTAGAAGGACCGTGCTCCATTGGGGTTAGTTCAAACCTCTTGTTTTCTGGGCAATATGTGGTCATTAAATTTGAGGAAAGAACAGAGACTGAGGCTGCTTGAAAAAAAGAGTGCAGAGGAGAATATCTGGACCTAAGAACAATGAAATAACATAAAGATGAATAGAACTAACTGCGTGCTCAACATCTTCACAACCTGTAGTCGTCGCCTAGACAAACAAAAAGGGTAGAATCAGTACGTAACGTTACGGGAAACAGAACTGCATAAATAATTATGGATGGGATAAACGACGGGTACACAAGAGAGATAAGAGTACACTTAACTCCGTGAGTAAGCAGAACGCCGTGAAGTGGCGGTAAATTTCCACCACGCATTCTTGTCCTCAGCTCCGAACACAGTGAGTACTTGATTTCAGAGTCCACACCAAGACATTGAAAACAAATATGACATTTTATGAAGATTTCTGTCCTCTGGGTTGTTGCGCTGTGTAGTCTGGTCGATGTTAACCAACGTTTCAGAGGTCCTACTGCCTCCGTCATCAGGGCGATGACGGAGGCAGTATGACCTCTGAAACGTTGGTAAACATCGACCAGACTACACAGCGCAATAACCCAGAAGACAGGAATCTTCATACTAAGAATTGCCCTGATGATGGAGGCAGTATGACCTCTGAAACGTTGGTAAACATCGACCAGACTACACAGCGCAATAACCCAGAAGACAGGAATCTTCATACTAAGAATTGCCCTGATGATGGAGGCAGTATGACCTCTGAAACGTTGGTAAACATCGACCAGACTACACAGCGCAATAACCCAGAAGACAGGAATCTTCATACTAAGAATTGCCCTGATGATGGAGGCAGTATGACCTCTGAAACGTTGGTAAACATCGACCAGACTACACAGCGCAATAACCCAGAAGACAGGAATCTTCATACTAAGAATTGCCCTGATGATGGAGGCAGTATGACCTCTGAAACGTTGGTAAACATCGACCAGACTACACAGCGCAATAACCCAGAAGACAGGAATCTTCATACTAAGAATTGCCCTGATGATGGAGGCAGTATGACCTCTGAAACGTTGGTAAACATCGACCAGACTACACAGCGCAATAACCCAGAAGACGGATATCTTCATACTCACCGCTGTGAGAACCTCAAGTCTTACATGACATTTTATCTTAGAGAGCCTCGGAACTGTTCGCTGATCCAAATCTTGATGGCAAGAAGACAAGATAATCAGGGAATGAAGAACTGAACTGCATTTAACTGGCACACATGATGGCGCAATGGATGAATTTTGTTAACACCTATTGATCCGTTTAATAAATAGCCTTTAAATCAAAGTAGGCCATGAAGTTAACTACCGTGAAATTATAGTTTAGATTCCAGGAAATGTGAACGTACCCTTATATGTCACAAAAATAATAATACGACGGTTCAGTACTACAATTATTGTATGCCAGTTTCGTCTAAATACCACCTTGGTGATCAACGATCCACAGATTACTAGAATCTGGAATCCGCAGAAAAATCCTTGAGAAATTTCATTCTTGCAACGCTATATTCATGACGCACATCAGGGGTCTCACCTGACTTTTTAGAATAAGGATATTTCAATTCATAACGGACGCCATCTACTTTAAAAATACTGTGCCCGTTTAAAACCATTATTTTATGATTAGGGGTCACTAATATATTACGTAAACATTTTTAACTCTATACTAAATATAAAAACCCGTTAGCCATTCCCACAGCTGCTTATATAAATAAACGTTCTCGCAGACATGAGGAAACACTTCCGCGGGACCTTGGTGCCAGCAGACAGGTTCGGCGATCTCTGATGTGCTGTACACACTGAAGATTCGAGTACAGCAGAGTAGGCTACTATTCCTAACGGAATCTCAGATGACCTGAACATTGCCACGTTTTACAAATATTATGGTTTTAACACTGATACTTCTGCCCTAGATATAAGATACTTTATAGTACATTTCAAATGCAATAAAGACCCTAATTACAAGTCAGAAATTTATGACAGATACGCTGCATACGTACAGTTACACAGTAGAACACACTTTCAGCATATATCAGAGTACCGTGACGTTATAAATGTGGATCGTGGCCAACGTTCCTCAGTGACGTAGGATTTGAGGTCCTCAAGGACGAGAGTCCGAAGGTGACTTGTCATCTGGTTTGTAGCGCCGTGTAGTCTGGTAGAAGTTTACCAACGTTTCAAAAGTCCATGCTGCCTCCATCATAAGGGCGATAATGAAGGACCTCTGAAACGTTGGTAAACTTCTACCAGATTACACGGCTCTAGAACCCAGAAGACAGCCATCTTGAGAGTAATGACATCACAATCCAGAATACCACAATCCACCTAGTACACATTCTCAGCTTTCCCTTGTCCTTTCATCCATGTTTTCCTTCTTTATAATTTATTCAAGAGTCCATTAAGTATTTGCACATATTTTATGGACGTTCGGGGTTAATTCCTTTCCATCTACGACAGGAATATTCCTTCTTAGACGAATTCCAGGAAGAATACACAGTACAGATAATAATTAATGACCAGAAAACAATAAGTAGCTATTTAACTTGTCCGTAAAATTGCACATAAACCTACACACATACAGTGCAGTCCAGGTTATCGGACCTTGGCGGTACCGAAGGGCGGCTGAATAATACGACAGGGGAAACATCAACTCAATTTAAAACTCAGTTTACAATATTATTAAATTACGAATAAAAACAATATGTTAAAGCAAGTGAATACATTAAATGCTGAGTTGACTATTGATAAAATGGAGCGTTCCGACACGGCGTGTTGGATAAGTCGGAATGGATGTTGGATAACCGAAGGTCGGCCAATCTGGACTTTACTCCATATGTCTATTATGAGTTATGGGTATATCAACTAAGTGCACAGAATGAATACGTAATGAGGGGTGGGAGGCTGTATCCGTCAACCTGCATTTTATACCTACAAAAATTCATTAACAGATTTCTACTTAGTGAATTCAATTTTGGTTCATTATCAGTTCAATAAATTATATGGAGTTCAGATTAAAATTTCCCGGTATTTTTTCTCTAAAATGATAATGGTTCGTGACATAAAATATAAACCTCTTCAAGATCTATAAATAAGGTATATAAA